ATATTAAACCTACATATGATAACAATAACAATTATCAAGCAAAAGAAGTAGATAGAGACAGTAGCGAATACAAAAATAAACGAAAAATTTATGTTAAAAAACTGAATGAAAAAATCATAAAAGAACCTAAACAATCAAGTCTGGATTACTATCAAGTCAAGTATAAAGAAGACACCAAGAAATACGTTTAATCATTAACTAACAAAATTTCGTGTCTCAAAAGCGGTTTGTTTATTTCTGCTACTTTGTAAGTTTTATTACCCATAATATCATATTCAATTTTATCGATATTGAATTTTTTATTAGACCATTTAGAGTTATACTCCTTTCTGTCGGTGTAATTACCCCTTTTCTTTTGAAACACTTTTACCTTGTCGTTCTCCACTATTCTGGGATACTTTCTTTTGTTTATTTCTCGTAGTTTAAGATTGACCTTTACATTTATTTCATTGTCGTCCTTGTGTGCTTCAGACGGTGTCATCCTTGTTGATGAGTGAGATGTGCTGTTATACTGTTTCAATGCCGGCGTTAGGGCGTCGGTCCATTTCATGTTGTTAAACCTAACTCTATCGTGAATTTTGTTTTTCATCGTTCTAATAAAACGCTCGTCCACATTTGCGTGGGTCTTCGTAACGATGTGGTTTATTCCTTCACTGTTGAAGAAATCCTGAACGTGATTTTTAGTTGCAAACGCTCCGTCGTCATCAGAATACACGGACATCGGATAACCCATCTTTTTAAAGCTTGCTCTCAACGCCTTCAAAACGTTCTCTCCGTCTCTTTCCTCCATCGGTATTACATCTGCTAATTTACTGAATATGTCAATCACGACTAAAGCATACTGTGGAACGTTCTTGTCTTTTGCTAAAGGAGACATATGCATTATGTCTATTTGATATTCATATCGTGCGAATGGAGCGGTATAGGAATTAGTTCCTCTATAATATTTGATTTGTTTATTTGGCTGTTTCTTTAAGAAAGACTTTACATCGTCTAATGTTATTGTTGGGTCTTCTTCCTTTGCCTTCTTGTGTGTCGCTTGTGTGCTTCCGAAACCCTCGTCTAAGTCGTAATAGATGTTGCTGAGTATTTGGTCTTTTGTTAATCTCGCCATTATATTAAATTGTTAGAAAATATTTTTTCAATAAAAACCCCGCCCCTTAACATAAAATAAAAAACTACTTAAAGAAATATTAACTTATTATATTAAGTGAAAATATGACTGAAAATGTCGGAGTGATTGTTGACTTATCAAACTGGGTGCTATCAGACGAAGAAGATGATGATAATGACAGTTATAAAAAGGAATTAGATGACGAGTTAAACAAAATAAAGGATTTCGTCAAAAGACACCCTTTGCCATCAGTTGATGAAAACGAAGAATTCTGGAAAGATGTTATTAACAGGTTTAGGGATAATAGCGGAATAAACTTGATGACAATATACTCATTTGTTAGGTTTGACATCATGAAAGAAATGTATGAAAACCTAACAGATGAAAACATCATAAAAGACTGTGGTAAAAAGTTAAACCGAGATGGGCAGTTTAATGCTATGATTATTAATCACTATATCTTATTGGGAGCGATACGGAAACTAAACACAGAAGACAGTCTAGTAGATGGACAGATGCGAATTATTGAATTCTGGTGGGATGGAATAGGTGGATGGAAAGCGTGAGTGATTTAGTTTAATGATATTATTCAATTATAATATGATTAAACCTAGTTTTTATAATCTAACAATGAGGTTAAGACATTTAAATTAAACCTGAAACCCAGACCAGCCGACCAGCAACCCCCTAGCCAAAACTACTTAAAGAGAAAAAGCCTTATATATTAAGAGAAAAATGAGTAAGGGTAAAATGTCAGAGAATAATTTTATGGATGAGAATTGCGCTAGCTTACCTGAAGGCTTAGTTTCAATCATCACTACTTACATTAATGGTAGTGAAGGGTGGCGAAGACTGAAACAGTGTAAAGCATTAAGGGTCTTACAAAGGAAATGGAAACCGTCTATTTACACTGAACGAGTAGGAGAAAGTAGATATTATGTTGAGATTCGCAATAAATGCTTAAAAGGTGATAAAGCGCTTTCATATGCGTTGAAACCACCAAAAGAATTATTAAGAATGATGAAGTATGATGAAGAAATACAGGTTGGAATAGAAGTTAGTTCGAAAATTATGTATCATAATAATATTAGCAACTGTCGTTCTTATTCATCATCTAAACAGAATAAGATTTCAAGTAGAGCGTCATTACAATACCATATTGAACAAGCAGTTGAAGAAACCAAACAGACTATGAAACGACACGAAATCATTACTATCGAACATGTTGCAATTGAAATTTATAGAACACAGAAACAATGATTTCATGGCTTAATCATAATATTTAATTATAATATGATTAAACAGTGTAAACTTTTATAACCTTTCATTATACTGTAATTTCAACCTATAAAACATAACTAGACAATCACATAAAAATCACATTAAAAGAAGTTGTTAAGATATATTAAGAAATGGTTGTGAAGCAAACTATAATGAATAATTATGGAATGACAGAAGAAAAAGCAACAGAAGACTATGGTGAATTCTTCAAATGCAACAGATGTCTTTATGATAAAACAATTGATGAATTTGGAAATGTAAAAAGTGGAAGAAGATATAAATATTGTCAAGAGTGTAGAACAAAAATAAATAATTGTAGAGATAAACGTCAAAGAAACAAACGACCCACCAACGCCCCAGAACTTGATAACTACTAAAAGGGCTACCTCCTTCAAATGAAAAAAATGTTTGCCCCCAGCCCAACAATGAACAAGGCGACAATTTACCCAAATGATTACCTTAACGAAACCGATAAATAAGCTCCCTAAAAACCCTCTTTTCAAAACGAATAAGGGGGAACATAGATTTGAGATGAACATAAAAACCAGAACAGGCAACCATCAACAGACCACCCCCCAGGCCCCCTACTTTCTCCATTTTTGGGGGGGGGGGGGTACGTGGCCCAGGGACTGGTACATACCGAAGCTGCAGGGCTCGCACGGACAGCATCCCCAGCATTGCTAACATCATCCCCAAGATGCGGATGATGCGGGGAGTTGGGGGACCATACCATGGGGGGGGGGGGGGTACGTGGCCCAGGGACTGGTACACGTATATATATATATATATATATATCAGTTTTCCCTGGACGTGGATTGGGAGGAAGTGGAGATCTTGGAGCTGAGGAAGTGACTCTTAAAAGGAGGAGTGTCCCGGCTTTCCAGCCTAAAAACACCTTCAAAAAGCAACCAGCGAGCGGGGAGTTCCCAAAGTACCGGTAGGTCCCTATGAAACAAACAAATACCCTCTGGGGTAAGCCAAGCCATGGAGTATTCACCTCCGACATCATGAGCAGGCCCCCCCTCCCGTTGGGATTTCTTTTCAAGAACTCCTGGTCTGATTTTTGATCCGAAACGGAAGAGACTGAGTTGGCACTCACCGGAGGCCTCAAAAAAATATACGTCTCAGCCGCACATTTTTGTTGACACCCCATTTGCCACGTGCGCACCACCCACTATTCGTTCGATGTTCATCAGGAAGCAGGCGAAGGGAACCGGAGGGAGTTTGAGCACAAAAGGGCATCCACGTGGGTGTCTTACATGGACTCCACTTGTTTGGCTTTCCCATTGGTGTCCCTTTAAAGCTGGTCCAAGAAGGATGCCCTGGAAAACACGCCAAAGTGACAAAAGTAGGGAACAAAGGCAAAGGCGCCATTTTTTTACATTTAGGCAGGCCTATGTTTGGTAACAAAATGTGCTTGAAGGGTCTTGCACAACGCACCGGCATTGTGGCTGTTGCAAAAATACAAATTTCCGGAGAGAAACCGCCCATTTCAAGGTAGCAGCTTCGGGCCACCAAGCTACAAGTTGCGCGACTTTGTGCAACGATCCAAACGCCGCTGGATCAGCGGCCCTAAAAAGGCGAAGTGCCCTTTGCTGGGTTGGATCCGTTACAAGCCCGTGTTTTAAAAAAAGAATCCAACCCACTCAAAGCGGCGTTTGCCAGGTTGTGGAAACTCCCCTAGTGTGATAACAAAGACCAATTTATCGCTTTCAGGGGATCATAACTGGCCCCAAAAGCCCATGTTCAAGAAGCATGGGATTGCTTGGATTTGGCCCTTGATCTTTTAGAAAGACCATAGAGGCAGACTTTTGCATCTTGTCTCGAAGGTACCCCCCCGCCGCGAAACCACCAAATAAAGGACCAGCTACATTTAGGGTGTGTCAACCCTCACTGAAGAATGGAGGCTGGCTTGTTCAACATATATGTATCTATATGAATATACATCTATATATTTCTATATACATAAAGATATATATATATATATGCATTATACCCTTAACAAATAATGGCATCTGGGGTAGCCGTCACCATCTCAAAGTTACGTGTCCCATGCTTCTAAAGCCCAAAACCCGGCACCGGTACCCCAAAACACTCCCCGCGGAGAGAACATTTGTTCCGCGCTTGGGGCCCCGGCGCGCCCGGGGTTTTGTCGGGTCCGTGAGGCTTCAAAAAAAGCAAACATGGGACCTGAAGAAAAAGACGGTGGCAGTGGTGGCCTTTTGGAAAAATCGATGGGTTTCCCTGGTGTTTTTTTGGAAAGCCCATCTAAACCAGGAACCGGAACCGCCCTCTATTTTTTAAGCAAAGCCACCAAAAAACAAAGAGGACACCTACGAAGACATGTTTCCTCCCAAGCTGAAAAACCCCAACCACCAGCGCCCATCCTTGGCTCCGACAGGACATCGCCGGAGTCAAATTTGGGGATGTGTCAAAGTAGGCCCCGGGAACCATTTGGCCATGGGTCCAAATCCAAATCGCTTAGCCAAACCTCCGATTCAAACCACTAAAATTGGCTCTCAAATGGGATTCGCCAAAACTCCCAAGATGGGATCCCGTTTCACGGTTGCGACCACCGCCATTTGAGCTCGGCTGGAACCCGCGCCTGGCTCTGCAACTGCGAGGGCGTGGTGGGCAGCTCGTCGGAACTCGGCGAGAGCCGCCGCGGCCCCCGTTTGCACGGCCCCCGAACGACACCCGTGTGAGTCTTGGTCCTCCAGAGAGGGTAGAATAAGTCGGTACCCACTTTCGTCCTTTTGTTTGCCTATTTTAGGGGAAGCCTCCCACAAAGAAGGGTGAGAAAGGGCACCTAGCTGGGGGAGCTCGGTGAGTTTTGGGGGCACATTTGGGGTTTCGTGTCAACCACTTTGGAGCTTCCCCATTGAAATTCATTGCCAGAGCCATGATTTCAATCCCTGGCATCAAAATGGCCAGGCTAACACGTCATTTCCCGGCTGCACCTTGTGGCTCAGTTGCAACCTGTGAATCGGTTTCTCAAAAACAAAGTGGCAGCACACGGCAAACACATTGGACTGACAATGACTGGGCGTTAGGAAAAAGGACCTTGGAACCAGCCCGAAAGTAGCAAGGGCTCCACTGGACTCAACCTCCTAAGGTCCCGCAGAAACCAGCCCGAAAGTACGGGGTGGCACATCCGGCTGGTGAGCGTTGCAAAAACGCTGGCTGGTTTTTCTTATGTTGATCACTCTTGTTGGGGAGCTGCAAGGGGAAAAAGCTGACTGGGGAAAAATGAAACTTGGTTCCCTCACGGAGATTTTTTTGGTGGTGTGGGTTTCTGTGTGGGGTCGAAACTCCCCTCTCCGTACATTTTCTCCCTTGGAGCCAAGAAATGGGCAAGGGCACGCACGCTCCCATCCCATCTTGGGCAAGTGTTTGAGGCACATAGAAGAAATAATCTGTTCTGACTCTCCTTTATTACAATAACATAGATTCCATGATAAGGATATTTGGATGTGGCTCAAAAAACCGGTACCAAACTGGAACCCTGGTAAGTGGAAACATGGACCAAAACCTGCGTAACCCCTCCTGTTTAATTTTGAGCCACACCCATTTCTGTGTATTACCATGGACTCACGGAAGGAGCTCGACCAAAAATATCATAAGCTTTGCACAGGCCTTCATACCCAAAAAGGAGTGTCCCTGTGTTGGGTTTGGACTTGGGTGTTTCTGTTCTCACCCCGCTCTTGTGGTTTGAAGGAACACCGAAACCCATTTTCTTTGTTGGGGGGGACTCCACTAAAAAAAGACACGCACACACACACACACACAGACACACACAGACACACACAGACACACACAGACACACACAGACACACACAGACACACACAGACACACACAGACACACACAGACACACACAGACACACACAGACACACACAGACACACACACAGACACACACAGACACACACAGACACACACAGACACACACAGACACACACAGACACACACGGACACACACAGACACACACGGACACACACAGACACACACAGACACACACAGACACACACAGACACACACAGACACACACACACACAGACACACACACAGACACACACACAGACACACACACACAGACACACACACAGACACACACAGACACACACCCAGACACACACACAGACACACACACAGACACACACACAGACACACACACAGACACACACACAGACACACACACAGACACACACACAGACACACACACAGACACACACACAGACACACACACAGACACACACACAGACACACACACAGACACTCACACAGACACACACACAGACACACACACAGACACACACACAGACACACACACAGACACACACACAGACACACACACAGACACACACACAGACACACACACAGACACACTTATCTCGAGAGGCTTCACTAGCCGAGATGCAAAACGCAGTCAGTAAAAATGCTTGAATGCAAATGCAAATCAACAGGTCACAACATCGACACCGAACAGGAAGCAACAGCGACAAACAGAAACCGCAAAATGAATCAGGAAAGAGGGTCAGGAAATAGGCAGGTACGCCGGATTGATCAGATCCGGTATCCACCGAAATGCCGTAGCTTCATTGGACTGGATAGGCAAATCGGCTCCAGTCCCCCTGCAATGTGGAATTTCCGACCGTGCTCCAGGACGCTTCACACACACGGAGCCCCAACTGGGGCGACATCACTTGTGCAAGGCCCATTGAGTCTTGCAAGCATCAATTGTGCGAGAAAGTCTTGTGGCGATGACTGACCACACATACTTGGCTTTGGATTTGGTCTTAAGGGAACGGAGGAGTTCAATCTCTCCCTCAGTCCAAGGCTGCGAGGCTTCAGGTTCGGCCTCAGTAGAGGCATCAGTCCTGGTCGATGTGGTAGCTTCGCTTGGTCCACGAGCAGGTTTTGGATGCCGTAGATCGTGAGGAGGCCAAATCACGTGCGCGGCGAGCTCGTTTTTCGCCGGGAGAAGACGGAGGAGGGGTGGGCGGAGCCCAATGATCAGGGAATTGGTCGTCATGATCAGTGGGAAGGTGTTCATCTGGAGCATCAGGAGGTGGCTCAAAGAGGTCCTCGAGGGGGGCCAGGAGGGGTGTTGGTGGTGAGTTGGTCAGGTCCTCAATGGCGGGGTTGAGCGTGGCCTCCGGTGCCAAATCAGGTTCAGCAGGCGGACTCTCAGGGAACTCGCGGATGGTGGCGATGCCTTGTTGGGCAATGCCAAGGATGAGTTCGAAGTCTTGGAGCAGCTGGCGTGCTGTGTTGGTATCCATGCTCGTAACGGATTTTGGTCAAACAGTCAAACAGCTGCGGCGCGAAAATCAGTTCAAATCTGTCAGGATGCAAAGGCAGAGAAGAAAACCAGTGTGGTTCCGCAAAGGACGGTTTTTCTTCTCTTTGTAAGGTGAAACCGTGTTGGAGGTGCAACCTCTTCAACATTGCAAGACCCTGACCTCGCTGAAACTCAGGAAAGGACACTCGGTTGATCAGCGTGCGTCCGGAATAACATCCAGATTCCTTATGCATCAGTGGTGCGGCTGACTTGACGGAGAGCATGTTGTGCTTCTCATGCGAGGGGATGATGGAGATGGTGCTGCTTGTGAGGTTCAGTCGGAACCCCAAGAAGTCCAGGGCGGCTTCTGTGTCCAGGAAGATGTCTCCTCCATAGAAGTGTTCGTCGCACAGTATGTTGGCTGCCGGAGTCGAGAGCCACCTGGGGGTTGCGATCACGAGTCTGTTGTCCACGTAGCGGAGTAGGAGAGTATCTTCAACGGAGCGAAGTCCCGATGTGATGTGAGTGTTGGTCCAACATTGTTCGGTGACCGCGATCACCATCAAACAGAGAGCTGGGGACGCGGGGGATCCCATCGGTGCCCCACGGGTTTGCCTGAATGAACGAAGGCCGACAGAGAAGATCTGCATGTCAAGGGTGGCCTGAATGATCTCGGGGATGTCGTCGAGCCACAGGGTGCGTTGTGTGGGTTTGTGTCGGTGACGGCGTCCGTTGTAGACGCGGGTGATGGCAGAGGTGTCAAGTGTGTCCACTGTGAGGTGTGTGGTAGAGGAGTGTGGTTGTCGTTGTCGGTACCAGGTTAGCAGTAGTCGCCAGGCGAGGAAGGGTGCAAGCATCGGTCTGGAGGGGCCAGGTGGAATGAGGCCCCGGAATCGTAAACTGGGTCGAATGGCGGAAAGACATGCCTGGTGGTGTGGTTCAGGTAGGTGTGTGGCTATGCGATGAAGGACATAGAGAGCGGCGGGTGGGAAGTCTCTGCTCCGTATGTAACGGATGGCATCAAATCGTCGTAGAGTGTTGCTGCCAAGATCGCCCAAAATCGCCACAAATCCAGGCGGTTGTTCATGCGCTTGGCCAGGAAGGCCTGTTGTAGGGCGATGGGTAGTCGTAGTCGGCGGCGTTTTCGCCAGATGGTGGCGAAGCCCATGTGCCGGGATTGGGAGAAGTCCAATTGGCGTATGAAGCCCGTGCGTGGCCGGAAATGTTTCTCGATGCAGCCAAAATTGAGAGACGGTTGCAGTTCCTGGATGTAGAACTGTTCAGTGGCAAATAGGTCCGTTGCCGGAACGACAGTGTGAATGGGCACCGAGGTGTAGTGGTGGAAAAAGTCGAAATGTGCCCACCACCGGACTGCCAGTTCGGCATTGACCAGATGATGTCGCTGACCTTGGAGTAGTTTGCGAAGTTGGCTGCGGCCCCGTGCCATGAGGGAGGCGCGAGTGGCTCCGAGGTAGAAACAGGCCTGCCACTTTGGATGGCTGGTGAATCTCAGATAAACCGCTGAAGGGACAAGCTGAGAAGAGAAATCGGAAGCAGGGTTGTCCAGGCCAAGTCGAGTAAGCAGGGCTTTCAGTTTGCCGGAACCACAGGAGAGATGGCAGACGTCAAGTAGCTGAAGCTGTGCGAGTAGCCAGGAGCAAGAATGACGTGCGGTGACGTCATCGGTTGGGAAGAACCGAAGTGTGAAACGGAGGACAGTGAGAAGTTGGCAGCAGTGGTGTTGCCAAAATTTGTGCTGCCTGGCTGTGCGTCGTTGTCGGTGTGCTGTTGAGAGTCACTGGTAGATGTGACTCGCAGCGGCCAGGATGCGGCCCAAGGCCGATGACCCCAGTTTTGATAGGGTTCGCACCGGGATGCCCCATAGCACAGCGGCTCGTTCGAGTTGGGCTCCGGTGCCGGAGTCCAGTGCGGTTGCCCATTTTGCGCAGTCGTTGGACCAGCTTTTTAGGACTTGCCTGCTCTCTTTGCTGGTTTTCTGAGAGGTGATCCATCGCTGGACTTTGGTGTCGGAAATGTCGGGTGGGAAGTTGCTGGTGAGCCATTGGCAAACGTGGGGAGGTGGTTGGAGCAAGTCGCGGGGCTCCTTCCAAGTGGGTGGGGAGGGGAGGGGGGGAGGGGTCGGAGTGCCGCCGTGGGTGGAGGGGGCTGGAGGGTTGCCGCCGTGGGTGGGGGGAGCCGGGGGGGGTTGGGAGTCGTCTGCAATGCGAGTGGGCAGGGGTAGAGCGGGGGATCCGTCCTGCGGTGATGTGTCAGGTGTAGTCAACCGTGGTCGCTTCATGCCGAAGTCCAGGAGGGAGGCCTGAGATGGATTGGCTGGGCGATTGTTGGATGAGGTGGGTGTGGGGGGGAGGGGGGGGGATGAAGCCTGCTGGGCGAGTTGGTTGTGTGCGTCAGCAAGCTGTTGCTGAAGCTGGAGTATGGTGGCCGCGGAGGCCGGGTCGGCCGTAGTGGTGGGTCGGAGGGAGATGAGGAAGTCGAAGATCTTGCTGGTGAGTAGCTTCATGGCTGCTGGTTTGGTGGTCGAGGCGCCCTCCTGCGTGGCTACATGGAGGGCGAGGGCGTCCAGGTCGAGGTGCCGTTGTCGGATTTGGCTGAGTAGTCCAGCAGCAAACACTGATTCCGGCATCGACTTTGCGACAACGATGCGGACTTCGCCTCCGCGGGCGAGGTGACGCAACCACCAACTGTTCCACTGTTCGTGCATGAAGTGGAGGAGGGGGACGCGAGCGATGTCTTGTCCCTCGATGCCCATTTGCCGAGTACACGCGGTGTGCGTTATGACCTTGGGCAGGTCGTACCCCGCGACGCGGGTGGTGTCGTAGTGATCGTCGCCAGGGTTGAACTCGGGTGGTGTTGGGACTGAGTGGATGGGTCGAAGGGCCGGGGGAGGTTTGGATTGCGAGGCGGTGGAGGGGGAGGGGGAAGGGGGAGGGCGGGAGAAGGGGCCGGGGGGAGGGGGGGGAAAGGGGGTTGCCGCCGGGAGGGGGGGGGAGAGAGCCGCCAAAGGAGGGTGGACGAGGGCCGGGGTGTGGTGGGTAACGGGGAATAGGTTGGCCGTAGGTCTGACAGGGAGTCGGATGTGTAGCTGGCGGTGCCGATGCCGTGGAAGAGCATCCGTAGGAAGACCCGGACAGGGCCCCGCACGGGTTCCCGGCCATGTTGTTGCCGTACACGATGCCATGATGATGGGATGCCGTGGGCGAAGGCTGCGGTGGTAAGTTTTGCCTTTGGAGCGCCGTAACCAAACCTCGAGGGGGTTGGAAAGCCATGAGAAAACACGGGGGATAAGGAAATGTTCGAACCACAAGCTGGTGAGCGGAATCAAGCGGGTAAGGTCACAAGGTGAGAGAACGGTCGCGGAAAGGCAGAACAGCAAAGCAAAGAAAAAAGGCGATCAAACAGTGCACCAATTCTTTTCCTGGTTGGGTGGAAGATGGTACACGTGCGCCCCGCTAAGCCGGGCGCTGCAGCGCGATGCCTCTCAGCATCGCAAACTTGGAGTGAAGGCACCACTTTTTGCCTCGGCGGCATGCGAAGTGGCGCCGCACGTTGTGTTGATCCTCGTGGCTTCCCCCGGATTCGAAGATTTTGTGCTGATTGATGGAGCGTAGTTCCCCAAAAGCGATGGCGCCGAGTTGAGACTTTCCGATTGTAAAGTTCTGCAAGAGCTGGCCGAGCGTGTCGGGCGTGCTTGCCGTGGGGGTGGCCTGAGCGTAGCATCCAAAGCTCGGGTAGTCATGGTTCTCGGGCCTCCAAGCAGCGGGTCGGATCATGTTCTCATGGCACATGCGGTGCACTCGATCCGGGGTGGTGCCGTGCACATACATGACAGCGTGATGGGAGGCCGTGCCGGATCCAGCTTCCGGGTCTCCGCCAGCAACTGGCCAAGGATGAGGTCGGGGAAACCAAGTGGTTGCGAACACCAAGCCGTGTGATTCCCGTCCCAAGAGGTGGTAGAAGCTGGGATCGAACGGTATGGGATCATCCGTGTCCATGGTTCGCAGTTCCCAGCATTCCGCGAGGAGATCGGCATGTGAAGGTGGCAAAGCAGGGTCCAGGTCCATCAAAATGGCCTGAGTCTGTTCCACCCTGGAGATGTCCAAGGCTGGAAGCGGGTCCAGCTCCCCCAACTCCCTAGGCGTGGGAACTCGCAGCGGGTCAGTCTTGGCCGTGTCCATGACGTTTCTCCATAGATCAAGCCACCGGTTGTCGGCAGTGGTGGTGGCCTTGATGTCCGCCTCCGATGGAGGGGGATCCAAATCACCGGTGTTGTCGAAAGGGGGTTGGGGAGGGTGAGGAGTAGCCGGCGTGGGTCGGGGAGGGGGAGGGGGAGTGGAAGTGAAGGCCGCCGCAGGTGCTGGGTGAGGGGGCAAGCTAGTGTTGTGGTGGCCGGTGCGGGAAGTGGGGTGGGGTTGCTGCCCATGGTGCTGCAGTGACCAGGACGATCGTTTGTCCTGGGTGTTTCGGTGGCCGGTGTGGCTGGCGCCATGGTGGTGCATGTCCCAGCGGTTTTTGTTCTGTGGTGGGTATCCCCACGATTGGTTCCGCCAGTGTGAGGAGGAACATTGAGACTTGTTGGAATCCTTCCCGGAAGTGCGCCAGGAGGTGGAATCATGAGTAGTGTGAGTGGGTCGGTGCGAAGTCGTGGCACTGGGTGCAGGGGAGTGTCGATGGTGGGACCTGTGTCGGGGGGAGCGGGAGCGGAGGGAGACAGTGGAGGGGTGTGCACGTCGGGAGTGGTGGGAGTGTCGGGAAAGGGAACGTGACCTGCTGTAGCTGCGGGATCGTCGGGTGTCGTGTCGTCGGTGCGACTTGTTGTGCCTGCGATGGTGGCTGGTGTGGGAGTGGGAGTGTCGGTGCTGTCTGTGGCGGGAACGGGATCTGCGAGGGTGGGGATGGTGCCGAGTGTCCGGGGGAGGGTGGTTGGTTGAGGAGGTAGCGGCAGGAGCCGCAGCGGCAGCGTCGGGCGCGCGCGCCGGCTGAGGCTCGGGCAGTGAAGATGGCATGCTGCTCTGAGTCATGAAAGGCATGATGGTGCCAGGTGCCAAGTTGCCGTAATTGGGAGGGCCACCGTAGGGCATCATGGCCATCGGGTTGCCAAAGTTCGAGAGGCCGCCGTAGGGCATCATGGGGAAAGGTGTGAAGGATGCCGTCTGCGAGTGGGGTGACGGTACAAGGTTCATGGGCTGCGTCATCTGGGATGACAGCTGCAAGTTCGGTCCACAATTGCCTGGTGAGCCGGACGCGGTGCCGGTCGCAATGCTGTGCAGGAGCGAATGCATCATGTCATAGAGCTGGTGTCCAGCCATCTCGCACGGGAGAGAGAAGGTTGGAAAGGGGTGAAAACAAAACCACAACTGCGGCAAAAATGCGTCAATGGTGCAAATGCATGCGAGCCAACTTCAACCTGCGAATCGAAACCAAACAGAGGGAATACCACCAGGGGACCGCCAAAACCCCGCGGCAACGGCAAAAGTTTCCACAGAAATGCATGCGAGCACAAAGGGGTTCTCAGAGGTGCCTGTCAAGTGGCCTCATGAAAGTGCCTCATGTGGCTATGCCGATGAATCTGAACTGAACTCATGAATCTGAACTGAACTCATCCGAGACGAAAGCTTCCATAAACACCACGAATTGCAGAGTTGGTGT